CTCAGGTCCTTCTCAATCTGGGCAAGCAAGGCTGTGTCATCTGCATAACACAGGCTGTTGATGAGTCTTCCTCCAATTCTGACTCCACATTCCTCCTCATAGAGTCCCGCCTCTCAGATTATCTGTTCCATATATAGATTGAAAAGGTATGGAGACAGGATGCATCCCTGGCATACAACTTTTTTATTTTGAACCATACAGTGTTTTCTTGTTCTGTTCTGACAACAGCTTCCTGGTCCAAGTACAGATTTTGCATAAGCACAATCAAGTGTTCTGGGATTTGTATTCATCTTAGAGTTAGCCACAGTTTGTTGTGATCACCACAATTAAATGCCTTTGCATAGTCAATGAAACAGATAGACATTCCTCTGGTACTCTGCTTTCAGCCAAGATTCATCTAACATTGGTTATAACATCCCTAGTACCATGTCCTCTTCTAAACCCAGCAGTTATCCCTTGATGTGCTGTTCCAGTCATTTTTGGATCATTTTCAGCAGGCTCTTAACTTGCATGTGATATTGATGGTGTTGTTCAATATTTCCACACTCTGTCAGGTCACTATTTTTTTGAATGGGAAGAAATATGGATCTCTTCTAGTCAGTTGGCCAGGTGCTTGTCCTCCAGATTTCTTGGTATAACTTGGAAAGTTTGTCCAGGGCAGTGTCTGTTCGAATTTGCCAGTTGGTATGCCATCAATTCCTGGGGCCTTGTTTTTTTGCCAATTTCTTCATAGCAGCTTGAACTTCCTCCTTCATCGCCACAGGATCTTGATGATATGTTGTTTTGTGAAATCCTTCTGTGTCAGTCAATTATTTTTGGTACAGTGTGACTCTACATACTTCCTCCATCTTCTTTTGATGCTTCTTGGATCATTTAATATTCTGCCCAAAGTATCCTTAAGTATTATAACTCAAGGCTTGCATTTGTTCTTCAGTTCCTTCAGCTTAAGAAATGCTGATCAAGTTAGGCCTTTCTGATTTTCTGACACCAGCTCTTTGAACATTTCATTAGAATACTTTGCTTTAATAAATTAATAAAATAAATAAGTTTATTAATAAATTAAATAAATAGTTTTAAAATAGATGTTAGAAAATAAATATGTAGAGAGGTTCAATGAAAATAAAAGTTTATTTTTTAATTGGACAAATAAAATCAACAAATTTTTTCTAGACAAAATAAAATTGAAAGAAGATACAAATATTTAAAATCAGACATTAAATTAAGAATGTTACAGCCAAGCCTGTTGTTGTTGTTGTTGTTAAGTATACTCAAGTCATAGGCGACTCTAATGACCCTATGAAAGAAAGACCTGAACACTTGTATAACTTTCATTGTTTCTCTATGTCCATAGAGTTTCTGGAGGAAAACTATTTCAGAAGTGGATGCCACTCCTGTGTCCAAGCCTGTTTTAGTCTGGGAGCTCCACCAAACTCTGTCCACATTAGGTAACCATTATCATATTTGACACATTAGTATCGCAGTATTTAGCATCACAGCAACTATTATTTCAGCAATCTCTTAGTCAATATTCTTCTCCAACACTACACTCCATTGATTCTTTTTCTATAATACTTATTCATTGTTCAACTTTCAAATACACAGGAAGGAATTACAAATGTCATAGCTTGCATCAAGTGCACCTTAGTCTTCAAGCTGACATCTTTGCTCTTTAGCACTTTAAATAAATTCTTGACAGCTTTGCTCTTTAGCACGTTAAATAAATTCTTGACAGCAGATTTCTCCAATGTATTATGTCTTTTGATTTCTTGGCCACTGCTACCATGAATTTGATTGTGGATGCAAATAAAATTAAATTGTTGACAACTTCAATCTTGTCTCTGTCTGTCGTTGAGATATTCCCTCTTCTTCTAGTGATGAGGATTTCTGCTTTCTTGATTTTTAGTTGTAATCCATATGAAAAGCTATGTTCTTTCATCTTCAGTAGTAATTTATTTCAAGTACTCTTAGTTTTCAACATGTAAATTTGTAAAGAAAGGAAGATCGTTGATGAGATGGATTGATTCAGTGACTGGGGTAATGAGGGTAGGTGACTCAGAGACAATAAGATTGGCACAGGATAAAGCAGGGTTAAGGGTTGTTGTACATAGTGTCACTATGAGTCACAGACAACTCTATGGCACACAGCAACAACAACATTGCATTTTATACTTTTACTTTGATCTAAGGACCACATCCATTACATTAATAACAACCTATTCATATACTTTCTCAAATTTTATTTGACCTTTGGCCACTTTGCATAGGGCTTGAAAGAATACATATTAAAGATATTAACCTAATATACAAGGTAGATTATTTTTCTTTTTTTTATTTTTCTAAAATATATTTTAATTTCTGAAGAGCAAAAATTATATTTTAACACTTTGGTAGACTTTTTTCTGCATAACTAAATTTGCTTTTGTTTTACATTTTTTTCTTTTTTAAATTTATTTTAATGAAAGTTTACAGAAACTTTGGATTTCCATCCATTCATGGTTGCACACTTTCCTCCCTTCCCAATTTTCCCCCACCCAGTTCACTTTTCTCTTTGAAAAGTAAAAAAAAATATTATTTCATTGTTATATAATTCCTCACCCACACTCACCCCCGAGTCCACTCCACTATGCAGCTTTCACATTGGACTCTTGTCATGACACTACTTCACTGCAGTATACATTATTTATCCCCTCTTAGTTTCCACCCAGCTCCAATACCAGTCCCACCTTACAACAGTGGCACTATGCAGTATTTGTCCCTTTGTGACTGAGATAGTTCACTCAACATAATGTCCTCCAAGGTCACCCATTTTGTATAATATTTCATGATGAGTTCCTTGTTTTTCAATGAAGTATAGTATTCCATTGTGTGAATATGCCACAGCTTCTCTATCAATTCATTTGTTGATGGACACTTGGGTTGCTTCCAACTCTTCGCTATTGTGAACAAAGCTGCAATAAACATGGGTAAGCATATATCAGCTTGGGTGGTGTTCTGGTTTCTTTAGGATATATTACCAGCAGTGGAATTGCTGGGTCAAATGGCATTTCCATTCTGTTGTTGATATAATTATCTTTCCAAGAAAGTTATTGATATACATAATGCCTTATTATCCAGAACGTGTTTTTCCTCATTGTATCCACTTGTCTCATAGAATTACTGAGAAATGATTATTAATGCTGCTACTCTAGCTCTAATGGCCTATTGGTAAGAAGTTGTACTGAAATCTTGAAGAAGGCATATGGTTCAAATCCACCAGCTGCTTTCAGGGAGAAAGAGAAACATTCTCCTCCCATGATATTTACTGCTTCTGAAAACCCACTGGAGGTCCAACTGTATACTGGTTCCAACTCAATGGTACACAACAACAACAACAACTCTACAAATGGGAATAGTGATATTCAGAGTAATCAGATGAACCTCTACAAATTTACCAAGAGAACAGAGATAAAAATTTTAAAAAACCCAACACAGCAAACAACAAAAATATCACAGTTATTTGTTTATTGTATATCTAAAGTCATTTGAATTTGAATGCTAAGTAAAAATATACAACAAATAATAAAATTTAAAAGATCATTTACTATGATTGGCTAAATATCTAAAGTTCCTAGAAAGCTTAGATACATAGTAGGTGTGTTTACATCTAAAATTCATCTAAAGTTTGCACAGCTTTTAGCATGAGAACTTAATATCTGTGAATGCAATCACTGATGTATGTCTCACTGCACAATTAAAATACTGAATCCAGAGTTGCACCAACTGAAGTCTATTTTCTTTTATCCAGCTTTGAAATTGTTAAAATACATGTAGTTCTCCTGTTAAAAAGCTTTCTTCATAAAGCAACTCTCATGGTAGAAATAGAAAGAAAAATCTTTTTTAACTAATTAAACAATATTTAATAAATGGTTTTGATTTTTAAAACTAAGTCCATTCATATATTTTATTGCCCTCTTGAATTTTCGAGAAATTTGAAAGAGTATATTCTATAATTTAGCTAAATGACTTGTAATTTTTGTCAACATGTTCATTTTAAACTCTCAAAACATGAGAAATTAAATTTCACTTTGCATTTAAACATTCGATATTTTATATATCTTCAATTAATACACCAGAAATTTCTAATTTTCTGTGAAGAATATGAAACTTCTAATAAGCAATTCATCCTACTTTCAAATAAGTAGCTTGGAAAGCACATACTCATAGATGTTGATGACACCAAACATTTAGAAATAAAAATATATATTTGAAAATAAGTAGATAACACACTAAGAAAAAATAAAAAATCTTATAAAAGCATTTATATGTTATTAGTAATAAGTAGAAAACCATTTAACTACCCAACATGTTCAACACAGAAGGAATAAATCAACACATATGTATCAATCAATAATTTGAAAGATGTCTGTGTTGGAAAAGAGAATAATTTTCCCACTATGGCAACTTGTGTAAATAATACTATAAATTATATAAGTATATATACCAGAAACTTAATTTGCTTGTACATAAGATTGCAATGTATAAAACTATTATGATCAACTTAAAAAATTGCTATTTTGGTTTATGCTATCGAATTAATCCTGATTCCTGGAGACTATATACTGGTGGTAGTACAGTCCCATAGTATTTACTTGGTTATAATCTTTATGGATATGGGTTAGTAGATCTTTTATCCTATAGAGCTGCGAAGCAGACTGAAATGGCTAACTATTTAATAAGCAGTTTAATACTTAACAACTGCATAAACTCTTATAAGTTTAATAATATGAGTAGCATTAGAGAACCATTAGACTCTATATTACTTATAAAATATATAAAAGTGTTAATATTTTCATGATAATTCGAAACAATGAAAGGGGTTTTTATAATTCCATTGAAATAATAAAATTGCATCTTCTTATGCAATTATCTTATTTTTCTGGACAATAATTTTTCACTAAATACACAAAATCATTAGAAGAGATGGCTGAGAGATGTCGTGACCAGCAGCAAGTTTCTCATTCCCATTCAAGATTGCTCTCATAGTGGTTCCCTAATTCTTCCATGAGTTGACTTGTCGATTTCTCAACTTCCGCATGGCTGACTTAAAATCTTCATTTCTCAGAGAGTAGATGATGGGGTTCAACAAGGGTGTACAAACAGTATAGAATACAGAAAGGAATTTATCCACAGAGAGTCTGCTGAAAGGCCATATGTAGAAATAAATACAAGGTCCAAAGAAAAGAATCACTACTGTAATGTGGGCAGTGAGTGTGGAGAGTGCCTTGGAAGACCCACCAGAAGATCGACGTTGAACAGTGAATAGAATGATGGTGTAAGAAATAATCAAAGCCAGAAAACAGCTCAAGGATATCAGGCCACTATTAGTTAGAGTCATAAGTTCCATTTCATAAGTATCCATGCAAGCCAATTCTATGACTAGGGGAAGATCACAAAAGAAGCTGTCTACCTCATTGGGGCCACAGAATGGCAAATCCACTGTAAAAGCCAAATGACTCACAGAATGAAGAATACCCACAGCCCAAGAAATAGAGACAAAAATTATACATAGTCTCCTATTCATAATGGTACTATAGTGCAGGGGCTTACATATGGCTATAAATCTGTCATATGCCATAGCTACAAGTAACATCATCTCACTCCCAACAAAACTGTGTAGAAGGAATATCTGGGCCATACAGCCCTCAAAAGAGATGGTCTTATGCTCAACTAGAAAATCTCCAAGCATCTTGGGAGTGGCAAAATTAGACTGACAGATATCAATGAAAGAAAGGTGACTGAGAAGGAAGTACATGGGAGAGTTCAGATGGGAGTCAGAGGAAATGATAATAATAATCAGGATGTTGCCAAGCACAGATGCCACATATACTATTGAGAAGATTGCAAAAAAGAAAAGTTGAAGTTCCCAAGAATCAGACAGTCCCAGCAGCACAAACTCAGATACCACTGATCCATTTGTGTGAGCCATGTAGCCAGTGCAGTTACCTAAAACAAAGTCAGGAATAAATTTCAATGTCTGACAATATAATAATGTAACTAATGAAAGCTTTCATTTAACTCAATTCAGCTTAATTATGTATAGATATTAACTGACTACCTCTTAACACTTTATAGGAAATGAAAAATAAGGAACACATAAAATTCATTTCGTAGTTAAAAAGATATACATATTGGTAGCAAAAACAATATAAAATCAGAAAAAGAAAATACGATTTGTTGTTATTAGATGCTACTGAATCCATAGTTGATCATCCAATAATTTTTCAGAAGTCGTAAATCATGTGGGAGGGGTTTCTCTATCTTTTTCCTAGGCAACAGCTTGGAGATGATGATGCCAGAAACATTGACAAAGTAAAGAGACTATTCTAAGAGTAAGGATTATAATAAAATATCATGCAATAGGGATTATCTGAGTTAAAAGTTTGAAAAAGTTTATAATATATACTAGACAGCAGGAGCGACATCCACTTCTGAAATGGCTTTCCTCCAGAAACTCTATGTATGAACAGTGCTCAGGCCTTTCCTTCATAGTGTGGCAATGAGTCACCTACCACTAGACAGCACCTAACAACAACAACAACTAGACAAAAATAAAGGAGAAGTCTATATAATAAGGAAAAAACATACAAAGTTAAAAAATATAAGATATTTTTAGAGCCTTGTGCATAGGAAGTCTAGGTTAGGAGAAAGTATATGCTAGAACAATACAAAGAAATAATCAGAATAACAAACAGAGTAGAGTTTAATTCCTCCTGAAATCAAAGACAAATAGTCATAATTAATAGTCTTGAAACTGAGAGTAATTGAGAATCATAGACTCGAAATAGTTTCGGAAGTTTAATAGATTACAATTTCAATTTCTTGTATAACAGAATATACAGAGATTTTTAGTGACAATAGTGATACTCTGGAAGTTTCTGTGATATCAAGATTGTTTCTTTCATTTAATTCACAATATTTAATCAAATTTACAACTATCACACAAAGACTAAATAAGTATAAATGAATCATTTAAGCCGTGTCAACTGCTTTATTGCTTTTTGATATATGGCTTTTTAAATAACTTGTCGCACCTGAATTTATCATAATCTGTAACATCATTCAGATGTGATGGTTCTGGAAATGTTCCATAAAACTTAACTATATGTGATAATTTTAATGCATAATAATCAAAAGGAAAACGTTATGTTGTGTGTAGATTGCTTCTGGAATGTTTTGAGGTTTTTTTAAACATTTGCTTAACACATTGAGCACAATTTTGGTGCTTATTACAAAAGAAAAGTCTATAGTACCTTTAAAAGAGCATGTTTGGCTTTAGTTGTGTACCCACACTACACAACAGATACTGAATTGACCTTACACTGATTGAAGTTCTACATATCTTATTCCTCTGTGATTGTTAAGACTAGGCTACTTTGATATAGCTAAAATAATAAACACTTTAAAGCAAAAGCTACATAAATAAAACCCAAACTCATTGGTGACAATTCTCTTATTGTCATTGTGACACAGAGATAAAAGTATCTTCAGATTTTAAAATACACCATTATGGGAAGCCAAACTTTATACTTTATATTATATGAAAACCCTTGTTCAGGAATTGAAGGAATTGCAGATTTATAAATTAGGATTTCTCTTGTGGCAGATCCCAGAAAATAACCTGTTTGTTTCCTGCAGACAGGAGACAGCTAGGGCCCTCCTACAGAGTGTTACTTCCTGGGAAATACTTCCTGAGCTAGAGCATTAGGCTGACAACAGAGAAAAATAGAGCCTTCATTTACAAGGAATTCCTTTTGTTATTTGCTTTCCCAGATTATCAATAAATACACAGAGAAACATAACTTGGGGTCTTCAGTAGAGAACTGCTGGCCCCCTGTTTTATGCTCTCTGCTCTATCATATTCCTGGCTGTTTGTCTCATTATTAATAATTATAAAATTATTCCATTCTTTGGGACCCTTAGTCTGCAACACACCATAATTTAATTTCTCCTCCTGAATTATGATCAAGTTCGATACATGTGAAATCAATTTTACTTTCATCTCTGTCTCTAAAATGTATCACAAAGCTCTACAACCTTCTTTAGTTTTGCTTATTTTTTTTATCCACAAACTGCCCTGTGGGAGAAAGATGAACAATATTGTCCTGTATCATTTATAGCCTCTAAAACTGACCAGAGCATCAGCTATGAGTCAGTTTTCTCATAATGAGAATGTGCTCGAGTGAACTTTATTTTACCTTTTAAAAAAATTGTGGCATCCTATTAGAATAAGGAAAAAAGTGGTCAAGGACACTTTTCAGATCACTGTGGTTTCTATTATTACTCGATCGAGTCACATGGCACAGATCATAAAGGTGATGCCTGACTTGGCAATTATGTGCTCTGTCCTACATAAGGTTAGCACAAGCTGAAGCTATTCAACAGCAAGTAGCAACAGAACACTGAATTTTAAGTATTCTTTTTCACATGGCAACTTTTTTCTTCATCCCAAGGATACATTATTTGTTTAAAAACAAGCTAAATATCCACTAAGTTGAAAATATAAGAGAAATAAAGAAGTGTTACATGATGTTTAAATTATACACTTCCTCTTTTCATTAGATTATAATTTTCCTCTTTTCATTAGATAATATTTTATTCCTAAGCAGTCTTAAACAGGATAGCAGGGGAGTCATAAGCAAAGAGAGCAGGAACTGACCAGTTTGAAGCAGCATTTCCAATTTGACTAAGATAGCGATAGCTTCCCTTTTGCTGAGTTCTAGTCATAAATTTCACATAGAAGACAGTTCATTTATTCATATGGTAAAAAAAAGAATACTAAGAAGTATGCATGTAATACTCACAATGAATTACACCAGTCCCTGTATTTTCCCTTAGTTTCACTAATTTTGGTATCCAAATTGTTTCTTAAGTATAGTTTTTCATAATAAAATAGTTACAACATACTCAGGACTTGATGCACTTTAACCTGTTTTTCAATGCTAAAATGTGATAAACAAGGATTTCCAAAACAGGCCTTGAGGTAGTAAGGGCTCTGCCCTCAACCATATAACTGCATTGTACTATAATGAGACAATATAAAGTCTTCTATACTGTTTCCAAGGAATTGATCTCATTGGAGAAGTGAGAAATCAGTCTTTGGAGATAAATGAAGTCATCCTGCAGTGGGAGTAATTATGGTTCATAATACATTTTTCCAGGATCAGAAAAGAGAATCAAATCAAAACAAAATTTTACTAACCACTTAGTAAGTCTAAAATTATATAGATGATATAGTAGCAATGTTGACTTTACAGTTTCTGAGTTAGTATGACTACCACATGTAGTTGTTAGAAAAAACAGTTACACTTTTGTTACTGTAGGTGCCATCTTACTGGTTCCCACCCATAGCAATGCTATATACAACAAAACAAAACACGGACAGATCCTGAGCCATCCTCACAATAATTGCTGTGCTTATGTTCACTGTTGATGATACTATGTCAATACATCTTGCTGAAGGTCTCCCTCTTTTTTTATTAGCGCACTATTTTTCCCAAGCATGATGTTCTGGTGCCTCCTAATAGTATGCCCAAAATATGTGAGATGAAGTCACACCATAGTTGCTTCTAAGGAGATTTAGTGGAAACTTTCTAATGAGTACTATTGGTGTATTTCTTCCAACAAAAAAATTTTATGTTTTTCTGTCAGTCAATTTTTGCCAAGTTATAATTTAATGCATCAGTTCTTCTTTGGGCTTCATTCTAATTGCTCAAGTTCTAGGTGCATATGAGGCAATTTTTTAATTCTAATTTTGATGAAAGTTTACAAAGGTATTGATTGTCATTCATTCACACACATTTCTCCCCACCCCCACTCCAACCCAATTAACTTTGTAATGCTTGTCCTGTTTCAGATTATTAATTGTAAATATCATATCTAAGTCGATTCCTATCAAGTGAGATCCATATGCAAAGTTGTCTTTTGTGATTTTTTTTTTAAAAAAGTGTTTGTGATGAACATATTATTGAATGTACAAAATTCAATCAAGGGAAGATCTGTTCAGCATTTATAAAGTTGAAAGTAGTGAAAAACAAATTCAGGCCTCAAGTTGCAATACTTAGAGATGCTATGGGCAAAATCTTAAATAATACAGTAAGTATTAAAAGATGTTGGAATGGAAATACCGAATCACTGTAACAAAAATAATTAATTTACACTGAAAAATTTCAGGGAGAATCATATGAAGAAGAACCAATGGTGATGAAGGAAGACATTCAAACTGCACTGAAGGTATTGGCAAAAAATAAGGATGTAGGAATTGACAACATTCCAATTGACACATTTCAACTAACAAATACAGCACCACATGGGCTCACCTGTCTATACTAGGAAATTTAGAGGACAACTGACTGGTAGAGATATATCTTTGTTCCTATTCTCAAGACAAGTGACCCAATAGGATTTGGAAATTATTAAGCAATATCATTAATATTCAATGCAAGGAAAATATTACAGAAGATCATCCAAAAATGTCTAGAACAGAACAATGGCAGGTAAATTCCAGAAGTTCAAGCTGTATTTAGGAGAGGCCATAGCACCAGAGACAGCATTACTGATGTCAGAGGGATCCTGACTGAAAGCAGAGAACACCAGAAAAAATTGTCCATTTGTGCTTTATTTGACTATATTTTTGCTATTGCTTGCTGTTGAGTCAGAACTGACCTAGAGCTGACCCTTCAGTGAGTTTTCAGAAGCAGTAATCACATAGGAGGAAACTGTTCATCCTTTTTCCCATGGAGCATCTGATGGGTACAAACCACATGCCTTTGGAGTTGCAGAGCAGCTTCTTACCACTAGAACACCAGAGCATAAGAAAATATGCTTCACATTGAAAAGAACTCTTAATCCCAGAACTCTTAAGTGTGTTTATCTGGAACCTACATGTAGGCCAAGAGGCTACTGTGTGAATGAAGCAAGGAAACACCACATAGTTCAAAATCAGGTAAGG